AGCCTCGGTGAAGTCTGGAACGAAAGGGACGGATAGGTTGTGTAGCTGGGTTTTGAGGCGCTGTTGGTCGCTAGATGATCAGTGTTGGTCTGCTGGGAGGTGGTTCCCGGGGTGGGCTTGCCTGGTAGAGCTCATTCTTCCCTTCTTTGGGATAGTAGACTGAGGGTGTATAGCCGTACTGTGCCAGATGGCGCGCGGCTACTAGGCCATCGCCGCCTTTTGAAGCGAGTCAGCATCTGCCGTTGAGCTCTTGGTTGTGGACGGGATGGAAGCGTACCGTTGTTCCCTGGGCCACAGACGAGGAGGATATTCTTGCCGGCGCTAGGGGGATGAAGACGGTAGACTATCGCAGGTGTGTTAGCCTCTGGTTATTTTTATTTTGGTTGTAATGCTCCATGGCGTGAACACATGCCTGCCTGCGAAACGGACAGCCCCGCGAGTTCCATCAATTGGTCCAAGGACCATCCACCCATCTCCATCAAGTCCTTATCGAGGGAGGCAGCATCTTTGGCTGAGATAGCCTGGTATATTAGATGAGCTAGGGAGCATAGTTTGGAGTTAAATGCTACCTACCTTCAACGACATCCTGGCGGTCCTACTGTACTTTCGAACTGCTATGGGGAGATATCGTTTTCTGAAAACAGAGCGGAACATACAATGCGAGAGATTAAGTCAATTTGTAATCAGTTATGATAGCTAGAAGCTCAGATTAGAAGAGAGGAGGTACAAGAGGGAAATGTATATCTGTCTATGGTGTGGTATAGTAAGATAGACATACCACCGCTAGAGAAGTACACGTTCATATACTCCGTAGAGAGATACATGCCTGTCAGTCGCATTGCATCATCGCGATGTTTTGTTCTCCACCATCGGCACTAGTCCTTTCTCAGTAAGTCCCGGAATAACACATCCTCCGTAGATCAATCTGAACTTCCGCGGGAGTGCATCAAATAAAGTGCAGTGCTTGATTCAGCGTTGCTTGCCGGTTACGAAGGTCAACGATTCAGTATAGTGAAAATGGTCGTCAGAATACGTCTTTCTCGCTTCGGCAACAAGCACCAGCCATTTTACAACATCGTTGTTGCACAGGCTCGGTATGTCTCTTTCCTTTTGGTGCTTCCTTCTTTTCCCTTTTGAACTGTTCCGCTGCCTGTCATCGACATCTAGATTGAGATTGATGGACACTTGCCAACCCAGTGACCGTTAAGAAAAGTGCTAATTATCTGTTCCGACTGAAGGTCGGCTCGAGACTCGAAACCCCTTGAAGTCATTGGCACCTACAATCCTATCCCGCAGCGGCCTACGAATCTATCCGAAGAGGAAGCTCGGCGCGCAAAGCCATTCAAAGAGGTCTCTCTTGATCGCTCACGGGCAAAGTACTGGCTTGGTGTTGGTGCACAGCCCAGCGAGGGTGTATGGCGGTTATTGAACTTGGTACGTGGTGGGCAAGCTTAAGAAAATCGGAGCTCTTTGCTGACTGGACAACGATGTTAGGCTGGTCTTGTTCAACCCAAGTCTAATGCTCAAAAAGAATGAGCAGACTTTTCGTGTTTTATTAGGCTTGAGAGCTCAATCCGTTGAGACGGCTCTGTTTAGATTGAGAATACTTCGACTCGTCTGGTTGGGATAGCGATTTACTCTCTTTCTGGCATTCAAAACGGCGTTTACGAGAATTGTCATTTTCTGGAATATACTTGGGTTGAAACCATTCTTTGTACATTATGCGGATTGAGACGTGGCTTCGGTTAATATGCGACGAATAAAACGATCGGTTGATGCAATGTTTGGGGTTAGGGTACCTTCAATGGTGCCTGAGGTTTGAGTTACTCCCGCTAGACGGTGATCTCAGCCACGAGGCCTAGGTAGTCTGTGAGTGATCTTGCTATCACCGTCAGAATGTCAAAATGTCCAAATGGTCCTTTCCAAGCCTACTACGCTTCCGCCCCTAGGGCTGCCCCTCTCAGACACAAACCTCTTTTTGAAAGAGGTTCACCTATTTCATGCCTCATTCTTTGTTGATGTCAACATTGCCCTCATTTCTCGACGCGACTAAGAAAAGCCAAGCACTGTGCTATCGCTTCCTCGCCGGACGCCAAGGAAGTCGTACGTCAAATGAGTGGTGTCCTGAACATTCAAGAGGCTGACAAGAATGTGTCACGCTTTGAATTGAGGGGACGGACAGTCTGTCGGCAGGCCAGAGCCGGTTGTTGTTGTTATTGTTGTCATCGATGACAGGTATATCCCTGTCGCTGAAGCTTTTGATGGAACATCGAAGTATAGTTGAATAATCGAAAGTCTTGATCCAATGCCTTCAAGCGTCCAGATTGCACGCGAGCCAGGGAACACTGTCAAATTCCCCCAGGAATTCCCCTTCTCCTTACAGCCATTCCCTATGAGAGAGATAGCCACACTCCTAGAGAGACGAGGACACGCCGTGTAAGTAGCGACATAGGGCCAATATGATGATTGGTGGTTGCAAAGGACTAGACTGGATGATCAACATCAGAGTTTGGGCTTTCCATGAGTCCAGGGCAAGCCACATTCGCCATGAATGCCTTTGTGGACAAAACCATCAAGAGCCCAGCGGGGTCCAGGGGTAATGCTTGGAGTGGACATCTACATAATCTGCGGAGTCGTAGTTGATAAGAGTTCATGATGAGTCTATGTTGTCAGTTGTTTCCATGTCTGCTGTTTCATTATCATGCACATGGTATGAATTTTCTGAGCTCCGACCCTATTTGGGAGGCGGGAGACGATGGATATGAGACCATTCCATGGATGCCTGACCGAGGATATCCAGAGTCATCAAAAGACGACAACAGCTTTCCTACCTTGGTAAGGTGATCCTGTGTAGAGCGATCAGGTTATGAAGTCGTTCCATCACTGTCCGTCATAGTTCATGCGAGTAATAACAAACTCTGATAGATACCGTGGGTGTTCCTATAGAGATGGCTTGGATACAACCAGAGTCGAGTGTTCTTGTCCTTCAAATGACACGTTTCAGGTACTTCGTCATTGGTTTTGGACAAGGAGGGAGAGGGACAGTACGGAGTAGTTACCTCATCTCAACAAAATGAAGCAACAGGCAGAGTCGATAAATTGATAATTCAAAGGGTTCCACCTTTATGCACGACCTCTGCAACTAACGGGACACGCACTGCCCCTGCGGCCTCCCCTGGACTAGGACGGACCCTAAGTAAGCCTATCTTACGGGGTAGATACTACTAGTTCCTAGTTGTACGCATCCGGACCGTTCGCTGTGGATTAGCTAAGCCACCCAACCATTATCGCTGTTCTCGGTATGTCCCTCATTACTCTGATATTCCACGGAGTTTATCAGAACTTAGTTGTAGTATGAATATCCTCTCTGTCATTTTTCTGCTTTTCGTACTCCCGTGCTCGTCAGTCAGTCCAGACTCTCAGGCTCAAACTGACGACCGACGCTCATGGGCCCTGGATAGCGCGTCGTGTCAATTTAACTTGCTGGGTCGCGCTTCGACTGAGTTGGGTCTAGCCGAGTCACCTACACCATCCGCGGTTCCTGACTGGCTCATGCACTCTGGATGAATTATGGATGCAATCAGAGAACCCCTCAATGTCATTCGTTCCTTTCATCATCAGACCCGATCCACCCTAATCCGAAGGTAGGTACGGAGTACTATGTAGACTTGATACGGAGTACTGACTCAGACTGTAAGGCAGGGTAGTTTTCGAGCTTCGACTCTCTTAGTCTCTTTGACTCCTGGGACGGAACCAGACTCGATCCGTGGGCCACACGATGTACCGCCTACTAAGACTGAGCGACAGTCTACCTAGTAGTACTTAGGTAGGTATCTTTTCAACGAATCTCGCAGCAAAGTCTACCGGAGCTACTCAAGAGAATCCTAGAGAGATTCATGCGTTGTGCTAAGTAGAACTACTATTGGTAGTACGCTGTAGTTGTCTCTCAGCACCAGTTCCGGACTTCAACTACCTTAGACACTCTAGGTACTCGAAATCGTTCATCCCAATTAATGTGATAATTCCATTATTATTCATCCTTCAAGGCGCTCTTTTTCTTTTCTTTTTCCTTTTCTCTGTTTTCGCACATTTAGATTAATTACTATCACCACAACCATCATCATCTTCTTCTGCTGTCATTCGCGTGTCCCTTGGATCATTCTTCGGTCGCCATTCATCTTATCTGGGTCAGTACCAGCCGGGTAGACTAGACTATGCCATAGGTAATAATCCTCCTCCGCCTCCTTCCTCCTTTTACACAACCCCCTCAAAAGTTCCAAACTTTCCCTTCCACACCTACCTACCGTCGTACCTCACCAAAGCCAGTTCCACTCTCTCTGTACTTGGTACTGCCCGTACAATTACTGTATCGAACCACCGCCTTTCCCCCTCGACGCACCCCCCCCCAAACGTCTCTCATCTATCTGCTCTCTCCGTACTGCACTGCACACTACTATTCCACCTTTACTCTTCCGTTCTCGTCTTCTCGTCCGATCTACCTCACCCATCCATCTTCCCTCCTTTCCTCTTCCTTCGCCTCATCGCCACCAGACACCACCTCATTCTTCTTGTACTTTTTCTCGATTACTCATTCCTCTCTTAGTTAATCGATCCTTGTCAATTTTATCACGTATCGATCTCTTGTGCGACTCATTCTCATACAACTTCCCTCGGTCCCCCCATCTTCATAATTGCCTCCTTCGCCGCCAAGCTGCCACAGACCTAATCGCGCTCCTTTCGAAGACTCGGTCGCGTTTCTTGATGAGGACATAAAGAAACCACATCGTCGTGCATCCATTTATTCTTCATATTTTGGCGCGTCATCCTCGTCGGACTGAACCATTTTGACACTCTTGCATCGTATCGCAATATTCTTGCTCGCTCCGGCAGACATACCTTCCCTCCTTTTCTAGACACCCCGCGACTGTTTTCATCATCAACTCTGCGAATACATTGTTATCATCGCACACCTGTATTGTGACATTACTGGTCCTCGAGGCATGAGTGCCGGTTCGAGTCAGTCTACTCGTACGAGTCCAGGTTCTTACAGTACCACTCAGCGCACGCCTTCCGTCTCGTCGGGCGCGTCGCCTCCTCAGCAGTCGCTTTCTTCCTCCCAGCCGCCTTCGACGGCCCAGAATGCGATGTCGACCGACGTGTATTCTCCCACTGCCTCGCAACCATCGAACCCTCTAGGCGGCTCGTTTTCTTATCCTTTCTCTCCGCTCGGTCCCTCCTTGCCTTTCGATAGTGTCGCGCCTGGCAACATGCGTTTAACTGATTCCGATCGGTCGGCCCAGACCCTGAACGGCTTCGCCCGACCCGCAAGTGGGAATACTGGCGGCGCAATTGTGATGCGAAAGTTGCCTCGAAACACGAGTCGCGAAGCGCTGCGCAGTATGTTGCTTTTTGCGAAAGATTTCGTGGACGCGGATTTCTTTCCTGTTGAACTCCCGGAGGATCACGGATACCTGACCGCCATCGCACGCTTCAATACGATGGCTGCAGCTGAAGAAGCCTGCGCTCTACTGGATGGCAAGCCAAACTCGCAGAATGATGCCAACATGATCGTTGAGCTCTACCATGGACCGGTTCCGTCGGCGTTGAACCCACCGAGGCGCAATACGATTGATCACACCGCGACTCGAAATATGTTGGGTAACGGCCACCTCTCGCGGTCTTCTCGTTTTAACGGCACATTCCAAAGCCTTGAAAAGCTGGCAGCGCCAAATTCGTCCCTGCAGTCGAACGGCGACACACTGACCTCGAACTCAGAGTCAGGCTCTCGTCTTCAAAGCATATTTTCTCCCCAGTCCCCGATCGGCAATGGCGTTCATGACCTTCCGCGCGTTAGTGGTAAGTCAATGATCGACCAGGATCCGGACGAAGATACGGGTGAGCTACTCAAGGATCCCGTTGGCTACGCCGAGAACGGTCATTCTTCTTCGGTCACCCTTCCTCGACGTTCGACGAATCCTCAGTATCCCACCAACCGATTCGGCAGCCTCTCTCTGTCCACCAACATGACCTCCCCGCCTCTGCACAATTATGCGCCTGGCGGCTCAGGGCGCATGGGGGTCCCGACGCCTTCCTCCGCCTTTCCTCAGGCAATCAACGGTAACACTATGATGGGAGGTCATGGATACCCTTATGGTAGTCAGCATACTCCTCGTCATAGTCTTCCCGCGGCGAATCCGAACGACTTGAACCCTCCCTGCAATACCCTCTATGTGGGTAACCTTCCTCCGGACACCTCCGAAGAGGAGTTGAAGGCTCTCTTCTCCAAACAACGCGGATACAAGCGCCTGTGCTTCCGGAACAAGCAAAACGGTCCCATGTGTTTCGTTGAATTCGACGAAGTGGCCATGGCTAGTAAAGCGCTCAATGAGCTTTATGGATACAAGCTCTCCAACAGTAACAAGACCGGGATTCGCTTGAGTTTCTCCAAGAACCCATTGGGTGTCCGCTCCGGTCAGCCGGGCAGCATGAACGCGTCCAATCACCTTTCTGCGCAAGGCTCGATCCCTGGTGGCAGCAGTCTCGGCGGCATTCACAGTCATATGTTCTCGACGGTAAGCGGTCCACCGCCTGGGCTTGCTGCGCCGCCGGGACTGGCGATGCCCATGGCTTTGAGAAACAATGGGGCCATGCACCCGCCAGGGAATCCCCACGCACCTATGCCCACCAACGGGTCCTTCAACTCAAACTCTGGCTTGGGGATTAGAGGAAACAACATGAATTCGTTGATGTCCCCGACTCCACCCCTCACGGGGGGTGTTGGCGGCACTTCTACCGGATCAAACGTGGGAGGCTTCAATTCTTTCTATCCTGACTACATGATGGGTCGGTAGACGGGTCCCGTTTTCTTCTCTGGAATTAATGTCCGACATGTTTGATGACAATTGAGGGTTTTCAAGTCTGGCGCATTGGGAGTCCTGGATTTTCATGAGCTAGATCAGCATTCGGAGGGCTCCCCTTTACCTCCTGGGAGTAAGGACTACGGTATTCTGGCCTTGACTGCTTGCTTTTTACATCTCCCGTCCGGTTTTTCGTTCTTGTTTTTCATAGCATGGTACTGTGGGCGCTTTTCTAATGTCTTTCCCTTGGTGAGGCTGTACTCTTCTTCGGCTCTATGCTGTTTGTGTATTCAGATCCCGGCAAAGCTTTCGGGAATTCGCATTTGCTCAGGTTCACCTGATTTTGTTAGTCGAGTTATTTCACATACCCAGCCTCTTTTTGTTTCTGGTCTTCATCGCAATCTCTTCTCCTTGGACTTTCTTTTCTGCCCCTTACTTGTAATTGTGCTCCAGTTTTCGCGATACCTCTTTTCTCGGCCCCACCATGGGAGACAAACAGTGTTCAACTCAAGTGGCCTTATTGTAGTGGGCTTGTCCTGCGTTCATGATTCCCTCTTGCATCGGTTCTTCTTACGGCCATTCTTTTACCTTCGTGAGGACTGCCACTTCCTCGTCTCGCGCGGGTGGAGCCTCTTATTTTTGACTCTTTTCTTCTTGCCCTGGTGGTCATGCTACCCTTCTTTGCTCGGATATACGGTTGACTTGCAACTCGCCTCGATTTTAAAAATGGATGAAGGAAAGCCTGAGAAATGGAAAAACAAAAAAAGAAAGAAAGAATCAAAACGGAAAGGTGGCATTCGAACGAGGAATTTCCGACTGCGTTGCTCGCCAGTCTGCGGCAAAGGAGTCGTCTGATTTGCAAGACCATTATGGCTGGCTCCCGCAAGGATATATGGGCAAAAGATGAACCATTCGTGAGGCGTTGGCTTTACACGGTTATACATCCATCAAGATACACTTCTGGATTCTTTTATCTGTTCCTCAAGCTCTTTGGGGAGGCGTGATCGGTACTTATTATTGTCGTTGGCCCCTAGTTTGTAGCGGATTGCTCTATCGTGGCTATGATCAATTGCATGTTGCTTTATTGCCATGGGGTCACCTTTAAATGTCTTTGCTTCTCAAGCGATGTTGGCTACACCAAGGCATGTCGAGGAACAGTGTACTGTGTCTGCTAACATGCACTGGCGGTGTTCGATCTTGCTTTCTGGCGGATTGCTTTCTTACTTACTTGCTATGCTAAATGGAAAATTGTAGATGATAACTTTCATACTATGTCCTGTTCCATTGTGTATCAAAAACATACAAAAAACAATGACCAGTGCCGGGTTCGAACCGGCGACCTTTTCGGTGTAAACGAAACGCGATGACCACTACGCTAACTGGCCAATTGTTGAATTAACCGCCTCATTTTGCCTTTGTAAAACAAGTGAGACGAACGAGTCCATTGATGGACCATACAATGGCTAGGACAAAACCGTGGAGAACTTGACCTATTGCTTGCTATCACCGACTAGAGTTATCCGCGTGCTCATAAATTCTATAGAATACTAGATCAGGATTGAGGACACATCAGCAGGAATATTTGTCCAAGCTCAGAAGTAGAAGTATACACGTCACGTGCCGGTCATCTTCACTGCTTTCAGTCTAGCGTGAGCAATCGGAGATTTTGAACGAAACTCCGACAATTTGGAGTATCAACGAACGGAGCTATCAGAACAGGTAGGCTTACTTGCTTGACTCAGTATCCTCGAGACTCCTGTCTTGCTTCTCTTTGGAGTCGGAGTCTTTCCTTTGTTTGCTTCCGTTAACTGGTCTGATCAAGTACTAATCTACTTCTGTTTACCGTTGGGATTACTGCTGGACAACCTTTCATAACCTTTCTTTCTCTTCCGATTGCCTCATCACGATTACCCCGCCAATCTATATTGATGATTTGATGAAATTGACGAATCTTTCCTGTATCATTACCTATATTGATCCTTGACGTCTCTCTGAAGACTTCTATGACCTGTCAATTCATATTTTGATCGTTGATAGGCAGTTTCAAGCCGATGTCCAAGCACTGATCAACCACAATCTTCACGGCCGACCAAGCTTGAAAGCAAAAAACCAATCAACCACTAGGCGAACAAACACGGATCCGGTATATACTGGCCCATTTAGACCTTTAATATGGCGGCAGGTAAGCTTTCTCAATTCAGAGAGCTTTTCTTCACCTATGTGTTGACGATAAATAGATATCCCTAAAGTTGTGCCCTTGACCTGCCATGGACACTCTCGTCCAGTGCCTCATCTGAACTTCTCCTCCCTCGTAGAGGACGATCAGTACTATCTAATTTCTGCTTGCAAAGGTAACCGTTTCCGCTGCAATGTCTGCCTCGCGACTAAGCTAAATTTCTCTGATAGACAATAACCCGATGCTCCGGGATGGCATTACTGGTGACTGGTAGGTGGTTATCGCCTCTATCGTTACCAATTGCTTGACTAAGGCTTACAACTCAGGATTGGCACTTTCCTTGGCCACAAGGGAGCTGTATGGCAAGCTCGTCTTTCGACGGACGCGAACATTGCAGCAACTGCGGCTGCAGATTTCTCCGCGTATGTTTTAAGATTCCTCGTACCGCAGCAACATCGACGGGACTGCTAATACTAATCCCCAGGAAGGTGTGGGATACTCATACTGGTGAATGCTTGCACACCCTCCAGCATTCACACATCTGTCGGGCGGTGGCATTCCCGATCCAATCGTCCCCTCAGGTTCTAGCCACTGGAGGCTTCGAGAAAAAGCTACGTATTTTTGATCTGACACGCAGCGGTGGTAGTAACAGTTCCTCACCAACGTCCCCGTCGGCCGGGGAGAACGGCAATGGGGCTAGTGCAATCACAAGCTATGAGATTGGGCCTGGCGTGCACGGAGGCACAATCAAGTCCATCGTCTGGAATCAAGACTACAACATCCTCACGACAGCCGCAGAGGATCGGAAGATCCGCTGGTGGGATCTTCGTTCTCGCCATCCTGTCGTCGAGTATGCTGTCGAAGGCACGATAGGTAGCTGCGAGCTCAACACCCTCGCCACTCGACCCAATGACCCCGGTATCCTAACCGTCGCGGCCGGAAAGAGTGTCTACCTCTTCGATGGTGTCACCCCCGGGCGGCTTCTGAAGAAGATGGACTTTCGATACGAGGTCGCCAGCGCCGCTGTGAACAATGATACCGGCCGATTGGTCACCGGCAGTGCTGACGATACCTGGGCTCGGGTGTACAGTCTACGCACCGAAGAAGAGCTCGGTACGTGCATAGGAAACTTCCTATTTCTAAAACGTATGGCCATGCTAACCTGCTATCTTAGAGGTCCAAAAGGGTCACCACGGCCCAATCTGGTCAGTCAGTTTCTCTCCCGACGGTAAGCTGTACGGCACAGGAAGTGAAGATGGAACAATCAAGCTCTGGAAGGCATGCAGGGAGCCCTATGGGCTGTGGCGGTAGATATACAGGTTTCTGCGCCTATGGAAAAGTTTCCCAGCCTACGGTGACCCTTACTCCCATGAGACGAGGTCAGTGTTCAATACCGACTATCCATCAACTCATCTGGGTCTCGCGACTCCTATGCTCGCCGCATGTCCAGTTTATAATCAGCATATAACCGGGGCCGTTCGAACACCTACCTTTGCAATGCAGATGCTGAGTCGCCTATCGAGATAATGTAACAGTACTGCATGATAAATGCGAAATCAATTGTCTCATATTACACGCCCAGTGTCAAGGAAAACTGCGCACAAGAAGATGTTCCAATCTGGTTTGAGTTGAGAAATACATAAGAGCAAGAAAATGGAATACAGTGCCAAAAACACCCTTTATATTCCACCGTAATGCAGGTAATGTCCTACTCAATCATATCAACGTCATCATCACCAGCCGCAGCGGACGTAGCTGGGGCAATCTGCTGAGGCTCATCCTGTACGACCTCTTTGTCGGCAGCGCCAGCACCCGCATTTGCGCCTCCCCAGTAATCATCCATCTCTTGATCAAGCTCTTCCTGCGTCTTCTTAGGTCTGGCGTTAGGGTTCCGGCGACCCTCGCCTCGATTTCTATCATCTCGCCGCTCCCCCTGCCGTCGGCCATTGGTGCTTCGTCGGACTGGCGATCGCTGACCTGGCACGTACCGGTCAATGTGCTCGGGGGCAGGCTTCGAGACGTCGCTACGGCGATGGCCTGCGCCTCCACCAGGGCGACGGCCCCGGCGACGACGTGCTCCGCCATCGGCATCACCATTCTCACTTCCGGGGCTTAAGCTTCGGGCGTCGCGAGGCCGCTCGATGCGATCAAAAAGACTTCCCTTGGGCCGTTCGACATTGTCAAATGGGTTGCGGTCCCGTTTTCCAGGGCCAGAGGCGACTAGTGTCAAACGGATAGGCTGTCCTTTGGCATTTGCGCCATCGAATTCTGCAATCGCCGTTCTCGCATCGTTCGCACGGTTGTACGTAACATAAGCAACACCTTCGGAGCGTCCAGCCCGATCATAGACGAGAGATAGATTTGAGACAGGTCCGATCCGAGTAAACAGATCCTAAAACGAGAACTCATCAGCTAACTGATCGAGCACGACGTGTCATATGCTCTTTGATCGGCACTTACCTCCAGATCGCTCTCCGTAATGTCGTAGTGAAGGTTCTCAACGCGAATCTTTGCTCCGGCGGGTGCGCTGCTGCAGGAGTTAGCCGCCACACCCACAAAGTGCTTCAGCAGTAAATCCAAGCCAGACATACCGATCGGGCGATGGGGAGTAACGGTCACCGCGTGGACGTCGGGAACCACGAGCAGGGCGTGCTGAAAGAAACCTGTGTTAAAACAAAAGAGCGGAATGAAAATCCTCCGTGACAATCGCCACGAAGCCAGGTTTAAAACGCACTGTCTCTGTCGTCGTCATATCTGTCGTGGACCCAATCACTGTAAATGCGACCCTATCAGCAAACACGGACTGAAATTTGTGATTTGTGCGGGGTCAATTACAGATCCAAGTCGACTCGTTCTTCTCTGTAGGACTGTTGTGACGCAAAAAGAGAGACAAGGTCAGCTGGAAATCAAAATATGCAGTCTGGAAACGGCTCCATCAATCTGCGGCTTCTTTCGCGTGCCTTGAGGCCGTGTAAGACAGGACGACAAGACCAACGACATCTGTACTGATCATGTTGCGATAGGGAGGTTCGAAAGGAGAAGAGGAGGGAGGACCTAGAAGCTCGAAAACTAGGAGGTTAGCACAGCTGACCTGGGAGAGCGATAGTTTGTTTGTCAGACGATATATGGACGGACCTTTTTCACGCCATCACGGCGACGACCTTGACCTTGAGGAGGACGGCGACCTCTGTTCTGTTTCTGCTATACAATTTTTCATGTTAGTAAACAAGTGAAGCTTCTTCAGTGAGTGCAAGCTGAAAAAGAGTACTTGAGGCCTTACAGGGCGCTCGGCAATGATCTCATCGAGACTACGGTCCATCTTGGACACGGAGGAAGATCAGGCTATGAAAAGCTGGACAATAGAGGTTGGATAAGATGCTGGAAGCAATAGGTGAAAGATGTTTGTAAATTGGTTCTGAGGAGAGATTATTGGTTGTTGCATCAGAAGGTTGAGCTGCGACTGAGACCAGAAATAAGCCTAGGTCATGTGATTCTGAGGACAATACTCAATGCGCAAAGTTGAGATTTCCACAGCATGGATGAGATCAACCAATAACCCAAGTCAAGGGTGAATCGAGGGATTGTAAGCCTCAAAGAGTCAAGAGCAGAAACGGAAAAACAACACGATCATGATATTTGAGGTTCGGAGCAAACTCATTACGCTGATCCTACTTCTGTGGGAGCGCTGCTTTCGAAGATGTTTCAGTCGACGTACACCAGATGCTATTTTACGAAACTTACACTTGATCCAAGCTGGTTGAACGTCAGAAGAGAGAGTACTTAGCAGAAGTATTTCTACTCATCAATAACTTTACTTTGACTTGAATGGTGGTATACATGGCAAGAATCGCGCACCAGCTCAAACAAGAACGTGAAAACGCAGGATGCACGACGACGGATAATAATGATCATGCAAGGCAAGAAGTTAGAAACAAACGAAAAATCAATGCTTCAAGTCCTGTATGCATGGTTGAGACTGTCGCTCATCGGAAGACCAAGACCCCTTTTCGCTCCGCCAAACTCCAGTAACAACCCACGAGGAAAAACCAAGTAAAAGGGATTGAAGGCAAAAGTAAAGGCAATCTGAAACGGAAATCGCTATGCATCCAATTTAGTGGTCGCCGTTGACAGAGGAGCTATCTTTGTTCTTGTTGTTATGCTCCATCATCTTTTCCATGAAGCTAATATAGTCATACTTGGGAAGGTCTCGATCTTCTAGAAGATCTGGACCTTGATGTAGCGGCATTGTTTGAACAAGGTGCTCAATGACTTCATCCGGAATGAGCGAGTGGCGGAGGTCGAGTTCTGTGACATAAGGCTGCAAATTGATCAGTTAGCAACGATTCTTAGCAACTGCTGCGAAACCCCTCAGGTTGTGGAGGTACATACCTTGCCGTCCGCAACTTCGCGGAAGCTTTGGAAGACCTGCTCCGCAGTATGCTGATCTTCCGTCACGCTGACCATGAAGTGGATGAACTGCTCGAAGCTGACGCCAGCATTCTGCGCTAGCCTGGCCGGCCCGCAAGTTTCGACGTAGACCTGGTGCATTTCTTCCTCGTCGTATACAAGTCCAAGACTGGCGAGCGCCGCAGAGAACTCGAGCTCATGGAGTGTATTCGATGAATCACGGTCAAAGTGTCTAAAGACAGATTCGAACTCTTCCAATTGGATCGGAGTCAGGTTGGTCATATTGCGGGCAACTAGCTGGTTCTCGAGGAACGCGAGCTTCTTGGAGATACTTGATTTGACTAAGCTCAGCTCGTAAGAAAGTTCATCTAGCGTATATGTTGTGAAGTCGTTTTCCTCAATATTCGCTTCGACGCACTGTTCGTCAAGTTCCGCAATGGTCTCTAAGAAAGCGTCGAGTGGAGGAAGATTGTCATTGAGTCTCTTGACATGCTCTAATTGGTCCTCTACATCGCCGTCAAGACCAGAAATAGCAAGGGACAAGGTCTTCAGTGTGAGTGCAAAGTCATTAGCCTTGTCCGCGAAGGATCGGCGTAGAGCGTTCTTGATGTCCCGAATGGTCTCGTTGATGAGCTGGCTCCGCTCATGCTCATCACGAGTCAATAGCTCCCATTCCTGGTCACAGACTTCGAGGCGTAGCTCTTCCGGCGGATCGTACGGACGAAGCCGATAGGTGCTGAGTTTGGTCTTGATATTACCCAGTAGAGCAGCAAGGTCTGATTTCTCGGCGACCCATCGTCGTTTCTCATTTCTCTTGTATAAGGAGAACTGGCGAGCTTGTTCCTTAGCATCTTTGTAAGTTCCCTCGAACGATGCATTCTTCCATGCCTCGCGCTGGGCTCTAATTAGACGCAAGAGTTCTTTCATCCTCCGTTCGTATGAGTTCTGCATCTCCCAGGCACCGTGCATATTGTTGATGAATTTCTCAACTCGCCGACCCGCATTTTCCACCCTTTCCAGCTGGGAGAAGGCATGGAACCAGTAGGCGATATAAGTCATCAGCGACCGTTCATCGGGTTTTGCAACGTCACAGACGTCATCCACATCGAGCAAGTCAGGAATACCGATTTCATTTGTCGCAATATCGAACGCTAGCTTCATGTTCCCCCGGTGATCATTCTTGTCCAGGGCGTCGAAATCGATCAGATCTGGTCGGTGGATATCGAGGAGAGCACAGAAAGCAAGACCGTCATTCCAGCTGGTCGAGAAGTCGCGGACTTCTACACCCTCGTAGCAAGCGGTCTTTCTCTGACACCAAAGCAGAAGACCCTCCTTAGCAGTCATGCCCTCCGCGTTGATGTCGCTGATAGTGAATCTCAGGATGAGTGTCCATATCAAACCCAGGATAATCTTCCGATTGCCATCAACAATATCCTCCGCTCCGATATTCGTCATCTGGATCCGCCTCCCTCTGATGAAGTCGAGACTCTTGTTGACATTCTCGAATTTTTGCACGCGAAGCTTGGGCTTGGAAGCATAACGGCCGAGGGATTCTCCGCCGAGGATTTCGAGGAGGTGGATGAGGATAACCTAGGAGAGTTGACCGATCAATGTCTGGATTCTCAGGCTAATCGACTATCCGGAGGTAGGAGGAAACTCACGCCATCGGAGAGGTCGGTCACAAGGTCATCGATCAAGATGCCTCGAACCTTGATCTTATCATTAAGCCTACGGGGACAGGAAAGTGTCAGCCAGGGCAAGTACGACGCCGAAATAGAGCGTGGGAAAGTTGACAGATTGCGATCACGAAGAAACTATACAGCGAACGAGGGGCACCACCGACTCTCAAACAATAACAAATGACCAGTGAGGGGGTAATCGGAGGAATATACCAACCATTTAGTAAAAGTTTTCTGCTGTACATTAACCCAGGACTTTTCAACCGTCAACATGATGAGTGATAGAAAGAATCGAGTACATCCAGGGCCGTCGGTTCTATGAGAGGTTTTTTTTTTCTTTGTCCTTCCTTGAGCCTGTCAGTGTCAAGAACAGACGATAATGAATCGAAAATAGATTGGGGAAGTACCTAAAGGTACCTAACCTGTAGGAGGGATACCCGCTCCCCGATAAACTAGCCTGGGATGGAAAGGGCAAGATCTTCACGACAGACCGATTTGAAGGTGGCTGGATTCGGCATCGATGGAGATCAGAACAGCCTAGATAGAAGCTTTGACTGAGATGAGAACCTGTGAGACACAATTGGATAGTCAGTAATCAGCATAATAGAAGACTAAAGACCGCCCTCAGTTCTCCAGAGGCTCGTGTCTGCAACCCCCTTGACTGCAACCCGGAGGATTATGTATCCCAGATACTTGACTGTCAACAAACCCATCCCCTCGGGCCCCACAGCAACCACCATGGTTGAAGATTTCCAAGGTTCCTGACTGTTATGGGTTCTGTCAAAATAAAGCAGGTAATGTGTAGGGGTCTGAACTACTAAACCGCGCATCCAAGCTACTCAAAAATCTTAATCTGAGCATTCTGGAGGGCTTAATTAATAAAGAATATCCTTATGCAGTAGAGGAATATTTTGAAGATGGCTAAATAATTTATATGAATTTTTAGGCGGTTAATATGGTTGACAGGCTCTTTGGGCCAGGTCAGTTACCTCTCAGATCCCTGCTTGTTACCTCCTATTAATGATTAGCATATGTAGAGATTTAACTAGGTGCTAAATGGTGAACAGTCTCAATCATATTTTATATCAAGTAGTATAGTGGTTCATTCTATATCATTGTGATAGACCACATAATACTGTATTATTCTGGAGATAGTCTTTAAGCAAGATAGTCTCATTCAAATCTTCTATTTAGATCATCATATTAGCCTCTTGTTTATACAGTGTTTCCTGTGAGTATACTATGACTCTTTACACAAACTGTGCTGATAGAAGAGAGTATTGAATATCAATATTCAGGAACTGTGAATTAACTCGTCCACAACGCATTTATATGGCGTCTTTGTGTCCTTTCTACTTCCTTTCCTTGTTCTCCTTCTCACTCACCCATTGCTATCCCCCTCCTCTAGTATCCTCTCTTGAGTCTCCCTATAGTTTCTCGAGATTCCCTAATTTGTTTCTCTCATTACATCATTGATTGATATTGAACAGATCATTTTACATTTCACCTCTTTCATAGGTGAGCTATATGATATATAGAAAACTCTGACATCAATATTCGCTTACATGTTGCGAAAGGCTCAGAAGGTGTGCTCTTTACACGGGAGACACTGATACCTCTCATCCTCGTCCCAGCCAACATGACCCTGGATATGGCAGCATGCTTGTTTTCACATATCTACTCGGTCCTCATCGGCCCTGACGAGACCTCATCTAAGTACTATCTGGATAGAATGGAGACAGGACATCTGGAGCATTGCAGCGCGTGAGCTTACTCTTTACAGGGAATGACCCAAACATTGAGGCCACATTCCTCAACCATGTGGTCGTCTTGATTGATGCGGTTACAAAGGTTCGCATAGATCCAAGTATATGACAACCAGGGTGGAATCTGGACACCCGATCTACATTCTCGAGTACCTTTCGAGCCCAAGGGGTATCAGGGATTAGGGTACCTTCCGGAGGACAAAGTTTCATATCCCGAGGTGAAGTGTACTTTAGACAGAAAGACGAGGATGCAGTCACGCTAGGGAGAAATAATATATATCTGCAAGCAGAAGTGCCTAGTTCAACCGGCAATAATAAATAATGGGTAATCACCTGAGAAGCCTAGGAAATGATATCATTTGCACCAAGACCGACGGCGGGGCGAGTTGGAGGGGCTGGACACCAACCATCAGCGCCTACCAAATCTTCCTCTCCCCGCTCCATGTCCATGCCATCGAGTCACTCTTCTGGCCAACTTATAAGCTTCAGAAACTGAATATATTCGAGCGCAGTTCCTCCATCACCATCATCAATTGACTCCTGTCGAGACACAAACACAATGTCTTCGAAACTCGCCATCACGGACTTACTGCCTCTCCCCAATTCCGACGTCAAGATCCCCCGCCTTGGGTTCGGTGTCTACCGCTCTCCCACCGGCCAATGTGTCCAGTCATCACTGAAAGCCCTTGAAGCGGGATACCGTCACATTGATACTGCCCAGTTTTACGGCAACGAGAAGGAGGTCGGGGAAGCTCTCCGCAAGTGCGGCATCCCTCGCAGCGACATCTTCGTTACTACGAAAATCCTGAGCCCAGCCGGGTCCCCCGAAGCTACGTATCAGAAGCTACTAGAAAGCATCGAGAAGATTGGCGGTCAGGATGGATACGTGGATTTGTTCCTCATTCATAGCTCAAGCTCCGGTTCGGCCGGTCGGAAAGAGCTCTGGCAGGCCTTGGAGAGGCTTCTGGAGGAAGGCAAGACGAGGAGCATCGGTGTGAGCAACTTTGGGGTGAAGCACATCGAGGAGATGAAGGAATATGCCAAGGTCTGGCCGCCGCACGTAAACCAGATTGAGGTAAGCTCTATGGTCGAGAAGCTCTTTCAAGTAGATTCAGATTCGTATGGCCAGCACCTGATGTATACTGACCTTATGCGCCCTTTAGCTTCATCCCTGGTGCCAACAGCGAGTCATTGATGCATATTGCAAGAGGAACGGCATTGTCGTTGAAGCATATTCCCCGCTCGTGCGAAACTATAAAGCCAACGACCCAACGCTAGTCGACGTGGCCAAGAAGTACGAAAGGACGACGCCACAGATTTTGATACGCTACGCGCTGCAGAAAGGATGGGTTCCGTTGCCCAAGAGTGACACGCCTGAGCGGATTGTGGCTAATGCCAACGTATTCGATTTTGAAATTGGTGAGGAGGATATGGCGGTATTGAATGCTCTCGATCAAGGAAGCGCTGGAGCTATTGTGGAGGCCGTCGAAAACGAGTAAATAGAATGATTCTGTATGATATGTAGCGTTCCACGCCCGGATTTAATGATAAGATGCAATCTGTTCGTCTTAATAATCCGGTCGTTCCATCAGAAATGCATTGACCGATTGAAGTGTAGGGCGCGACGGGTTCACATCATGTTTTGATGACACGATCCAGGCAAGACGTTGTCGTATGTATTGCTTGTCTATTGATCGCCTCGCTGGGGATGCTGTGAACGATCCTAAGAACCGTTAGAAAAAGGAAAGGATGAGAAAACGAGGTGGTGAAAGAAGATAGGGAAGGCAAGTGGGAGTACGGAGGGATGGCATACCATCATCATTATAGAATAGACATATGATAGCAAGCAGAGCACCAGCGGAGAGATCTTTACCAGTTTCACAGGTAACTAGGAGTGATCGTGAAGGATCGGTGGCGAGCTGAGAACTGACAAAAGCTCGAACCTTATCGAGCTCTTGTCTCAAGTCGCGGCTTCCCAGTTTTGACGACCTACATCCAAGGTTGAGGCGCTTTGGGTCTCCTTCTGAGGCCTCGGGTCTGCCATTGCAATCAATTACGAGGTTATAGAGACCACTGTCGTTGATACTGGCGTTCGTTTGACTGATATAAAGGTTCCGAGTAGGCGCAACCAATGTGGCTTGTTCAGCAGTATCCTGACCTTGATGCTCTTTCACCAGTTCTTCGACCAGTTCGGGCAAATCCTCCTCGGGCGTCTTCAGGAGAATCGCTTTGTGGGCCCAGAAGACTGGCGGAGTCAACCCCTGGGCCCAGCCCTCGCTGTCATCCCCTGCGCCTTGAATGTAGCCACCTTCCGAAATTTCTGCTCCGTGAACACGTTTGGACGCAGAGCAGAGAACGAAAAGGTTGTAGTCGGGTCCTTTGCGCAGATCGGTAGGATAAAAATAAGACCGATTGGCCCATGCCACCCGAATAGGCTTTCCAAGTTGCTGCCTGAGATCATCCAGATCCAGTTTGAGATCCTGGACCTTCAGTCAGTCTAAAGCTGCTGGGCTTAAAAGAGTATAGTGATGGTAGACGGAAAAGAATACCTTGAGCGATTTCACGAAACCATCAATCCGGCGTTCAATCTGCGATTCCTCCGAGGCGCCTAGATAATTCGGCGGAAGCTGGACTGCATGATATGCAGCATCGGATGGGAAAAGTGCTCGATTCATGACGGCGCACCATATTGGAACAGTCTTAGACAAGGCATCGGGCATCACTGCGCCTGGTAAGACCAGGCTGCGCACTGAACAGGAAATTCAGAAGCAAACTTACATTTACCCCGACGTGTTGAATCCACAATAATACATCTGCAGTGATTATTGGCAGTTTAGTCAACACCAGCCCAAGCATCAGCGGGGGCGATAACAATGATAGCTAATGCTCACTCACCCCCCATGTTGCCGAGCAAGTGGTAATATTTGTAGATTCAGTCTACGGAAACTAAAATCCCACTGACCGGTATGGCCGTCCGTGCTCTTGAAATAGGCGCTACCAGCTTTGATGTCCGGCGAAATGTACCAACTCCCGCATCTTTCGTTGGCGACTAGAGGCAAGCCGTAGTGCTCGGCAACCTCTGCAACGAAGGCAGCATCGGATTCAATTGAACGAAGCCGGTTGGAAATAGACAGCGCTGATCGACGCAGCGACGACAAAGTCTGAGAAATTGATTGTGCTGCGGAGGGGAAATGAAGCGATGAGACGGACACAGGAAATTGGTCGGAACGACCTCCCGTGTTCTCTGACATTGACTCTATTTCCGGGAAGCGAAATGCAGACAGAAACTTACAGGGATGAAACAGAGCGTAGGGTTTTGATAAATGGCAAGGAGCGCCAATAATGATGTCCCCAGGATAATACTTCAGAATATAACAAGAAAAGCTGAGATATGTGCCGCATGAGAGGTACATCCCACATCAATTTGTGGGTTAGAAGAGGACGGGCCTAACCAGACTGATTGGATGGTTAAGTTTGCTGTGCAGGAATGAGCCAATTAGCATCGAAGGAATTCTCGCCGGGTCAAGAGGCTAATCCTTTTTGCCCGACTGCTTGAGTGGCTTGTTCTATATAAACCACACCAGAACAATGATAATACCTACCTACCTACCTTGAGTATTAACGTATCTTGGGTACCTTAGGCTTACCTACTATTCTGTAGCTTAGGGGGCCAAGTACCTATGTGGTGAGCAGGACCGTGTCGTTGAACGTTCAAAGTCGAAGGACTGCGGGGCGTGCAAGTTACAATAATGACAGGCATGGGAAGGCCCGAGTTATTTCAACATGGCCAAACCAAACAAAGTAAAGCGTAACAGAAGACCAACATAATCAGCTTATTCGTGGATGAGCTTTCCATAGGTATAACCGGCCACACTCTCTTGAACTTCATCTCCCAGTGGGGTGCAGTGCTTGGGTCTTTGACCCTGGGATATCTTGACCGATTTGAGCCCCTCGCATGAATCATGTATATTGTGAGGCACCCCAGTTATGCGCCTGCAGATAGAAGCACTCTTAATAGTAAAATCCCGAACTTAGTCTTTCCCATCCTTTTCCCAATTGAGTCCATACTAGAAACTTTTTTGGTGATAAGAAATGGTACAATATTGAATATCAGACCCCATCGCGGAACTGTCAGAAAGCCATCGAAAAGGACATAAAAAAATAAAAATAAAAATAAAAAAAAAAAAAAGAGAGGGAAACAATGGGTGTGGAAAGCCCCACTATGGCAAGCCACGAAAGTCTGAATAGCCTCAGGCGATATATCTGAGGCAACTCGGACTCGATCTATTCGATTTGGCTCAGTGGCTTTCCTTGCCTTTCCATCCACAGGAATCATTAAATTAAATCAAGTTAAGTAGAGGGGAACGAAGAAACTGAGCGTTACTGAAACGAGAATGGCAGCGGGTGCTTGCTTCCATAGGCTTAGCAGACCGCCTCTAGCGTCTGACCCAGTGAGCAAAGCCCACGATGGCCCCCGTCCTTCGGCGCGATTAGGGCCGGCCTCCATATTATTATTATTATTATTCAACACGTTCACTCGCAGCAGCCGAAGTAACGTCATGGTATGACCTCAGGTCTCAGGAACCCCACCAGTCCCGCTCCTGCCCGTATAGTATCATAGTGGAAATTCGAGCTCTGATAGGTGAATACTTTGGAAACAGATACGGGTTTCTGTTGATTTCGTCCCCTTTGGAATCGCCGGTGGATTGAATGGGGGTCACTCCCTTCCTAGCTTAGTATTCACTGTCCTTCGAAAGCTCTTTCCAAAACTACTTAAACATTGCGGGCAGCCCGTTGATGTTTGCCACTTGCGTCCTACTTTATCCCGGTCCAATCCACTCCAACGATTCGTTCCCTTCCCACTTAACCCAGACAGCTCCCATTTGACTTTCTTTACGGCTACTTTACCCACTTCATCTCACTTCATCTCTCCTCAAGCAGACTTCCTGCAAAACCTCAACTCTCCATACATCTTGACACAATTCCCCACAACTTCTAGAACACAGAGACTCTTAGCTCAGCTGTCACCATGCCTAAGGTTAGTCATCTGTTGTTCTCTACTTTGCATGAAATCATGGATCTACAGAGTTGCTGACCACGATACCATTGCTGCAGATCACGGGAATCTTCTTCGACTGTGACAACACGCTTGTCCTGTCGGAAGAGCTGGCCTTCGAAGCATGCGCCGATCTTGCTAACGAGATTCTTGCGAAGCGCAACATCCCTGATCGCTACACCGGCGGGCAGCTGATTCAGGACTTCGTTGGTCAGAACTTCCGCGGGATGATGATTTCTCTTCAAGCCAAGTACAAGTTCGAGATGTCCAAGGAAGAGCTTGAGGAGTATGTGATAAAGGAAGAGGATGAGGTCATCGGCAAGCTCAACGAAAAGGCACAGCCTTGCGTTGGTGCCAACGAGCAGCTGAAGGAGATCTTCGAGTCCAAGAAGTATGACCTTGCTGTCGTCTCCTCCTCCGCCCTGCGCCGTGTCAAAGCCTCCATCAAGAAGGTTGGACAGGACAAATACTTCGATGACAACCTCATCTTCAGCGCTGCTAGCTCCCTTCCCAAGCCCACTTCCAAGCCTGATCCTGCTATCTACCTACATGCCCTTGAGGTGTGCAAGAAGAAGCCCGAAGAAGTGGTTGCCATTGAGGACAGCAAGTCTGGTGCTTTGAGTGCCATCCGCGCCGGTATCCCTGTCATTGGTTACGTCGGCAGCTACCCTGGTGATGACAAGAAGCTTGAGATGTCCCAGCGTCTGGAAGAACTCGGTGCTAAGGTGATCATGAAGGACTGGAGCGAGTTCAAAAAGTGCCTTGGGGAGATCGAAAAACTCTAAAACGACTTTAGATGTTCTTCATCCAACTCGATTCCTTTTTCCCCACACGAAGTTATGACAGCAAACGCCTGGTCGTTAGGGAGCCACTGGATTGGGTTCCTTTCTTTCGCCTTTTCATTTTATGAGAAGCTTTCTTGCTCGAAGCGGCGGTCAGGACCCCCCACTTGCAAGACTGCATCTCTCCTTTCGATTGGACTCGGGCGTATGGGCATAGCTCTTCCGCCATGGGTCTGACCTTTACACTTTATTTCGAATACCCCAAATTCTGACTCGGCCGACACTCGTGCATCGGACTCGACATTCAAGCATAGATGGGTTTTCAGTGACACAAAGAGATGCCTTTCGGTTTATCTAGTCTGTATTTGCACAATAGAGGCCTAAAGTCGATTATCTGAGTCTTTCAAACTCTCTGCTCTTTTGGAGTCGAATATGGGCTCTGCTGATGGCTCATGTTGTAGATTGTAGTCCTACTGCACCGACGAGCCCTCGTCTACGCTTCCGTCCGAGGGGCGGAGCCGCTGTAGATGGCATTTACTAGCGAGAGCCAGTCGCTAATCATTTCAGATTAGAGTCATTTTTGGCAAAAGACCCATTCGAGCACAGGTTCTATGGCGCGCCACGTCCAGATGCCTGTAGATACATAGTTGACTTTGGAAACTAGAATCATATGCTAATGCAAGAAGACCCATATGTGGCCCAAGATGCGCATTCTTTGACCTATCCAGGAGTAGTCAGCTGAGCTTCGACACGTATCCAGGCATCGAACTCGATTTCGATGGTTGGTAGAACACATGACTGTGGCCGTACGCCATTCGAGCTATCGCGCACAGCGCTTGCATGAGGTCTTGCATGGACCTCGATTCCCACTGTGAGGGTCTCAACTGGTTCACATTTGGAACGAAAGATCGGCAGAAGCGAACTCACGGAGTGAGCTCTGCTGTCTCAGTCAGAAGCACAACGAAGGACAACAAGTGCAGACTGCGCCCCAACTCCTGCAAGTTATCTACAGGATAGCATGGATATATAATAGAGATTTGTAAATGCACTTTTACACCGGACAGCATCTACGAAGCCTCGCCTAGTTGTCCGAGCAGATATGCATATTAGACGCAAGGGGGATAGGTCTAGACAGATGCTGCTTGAATCCAAGGCAAGACAGAGGAGTATTTTCATGTGTGAACATGTTGATTATTATCTTACCCCGCATTGCATTGGAGGCCGTGGTTCTTTGCCTCCACTGCTCTCACAAAGCTAGACTGATGTCAGTGGCTTCCATCCTTGCCTCCATTGCTGCCTTTCCCAGAGGCAATGTTTGCAGGTGGGCCATGAGAAACACAAAATGACAGGAGGATAAATAAACTGTTGAGATTGTACCGCTTTAAGAGTTTTATGCATAAGATTAGTTGCCTATAATTGATTGCAGAACAAGTCCCAGTACATACGACCATAGGGTGTGGAAAACAGGGCTTCCCGTCCGCTCAGCCGTACTTAAGCCACACGCCGGCCGGTTAGTAGTTGGGTGGGTGACCACCAGCGAATCCCGGCTGTTGTATGTTTTTTGTTTCTTTAATTCATTGTTTAGTATCCTTGCCGCCTTGTCTTCAGCCCCTTCAGCATCTTCACCTGAAAATCACCTGAAGCCGCCTGAACCCCTGTAAATTTCACCCATTTCGCCCGTACGGTCCCTGAGAAGTGCTGACTTGTCCCTACCATATATATCCCTTGTCTAAGTTATGCATTCGCGCCCTCTAAGTAATGCATTAACATAAAAGGTCCTATACAAGGTCATTGATATAGTATAGATCCTCCAATCTAGCTACAGTATGTCTGAAAGGCCCCTAGAATTGGTATTCTGTATTCCTCATAAATTATTCTTGCCTTGACAAGGTGATAGACTTAGGGGGTGGAGGCCTAGCTCTTCTAACTTTACACAAGTGGTTACTTAGACTACATCCCCTTACTTATTTATAAACCCTTAATACCTCTGTCTAATGCCAGTCTAGATAATTTATAATCTAGAAATCTGTGTGGTTGGCTGTGCAAATATACATAAGGAATATATATTTAATATTTATTCAGAGGCAGGCATAGAAAAGGGGATATCTACTTAATAGGATGGCATATGGTTGGGGCCCATTCCATTTATATGTTTGAAAACCCAATTCAGGTTAACTAAGGTAATGGGATCGACTACTATTAGTACTAAGCCATATACTAGGGTCTAGTACAGTGGCTCTGTCTTCTCTGTCTTGGTTGATATGCTCCGTCATGCGGTCATACTGTATGTAGTCTTGGGAGGTCTCTGGATCGAAAGGATCAAAAACTTTATTTGTGCTGTTGGTTCTTCGAAGCGGGACACAAATTCATAGTAAATACTTTCTTGAGCCAGAATCCTCGATCCTGCGCAGCAACATTGACCATAGTTAAAGAAAATTCTGGAATTGATCCAATAAATCGCGTTTTCAATGTCAGCGTCATTGATCAGGCATGCCCAGAGTTCTCGCTGTCGGCGACCCTACCATGTATTAGCAAAATCTGGAAACCATGCCTACCTTGAGATTCTTGCTCAGTTCCAACTAGTCCAGAGTCTGAAGAATTGGCAGAAACTATTGATGGGGAATGCCCTGCTGATCCGACTGCTCCTGCGGGACATCCTCCTCGCTCGTCTGGATTTGCGTCGGCCCTTATGCTGAAGCTGGGAGGCGCTCAAACACAGTTAAGTTTCCACCGCGGGGCGCGAGAAAAGCCAGGACGTGAACAGTTCAAGTGGAGCTTCTTCCTTCCTCTCGAAGCTATAAAGCTTCGACATCCGAATTATCAGCTGCCTCTGGTTCATGGAAGCACAGAGTACCCTTGCATGCTGTGGGCCCACGAATGAAAAGAGAAGAAGCGGAAATTTCTGCTTGTTTGGGAATGCTGGACTTTTCCGGGAAGTTTCCTCAAGCTTTTCCTCCTCCATATCAAACAGATTCTTCATCTCCTCCTCATTCTCTGCTTTTGGCTGTTTGGCACGGCTATTAATAACAGTAAGGATTACGGCGAGCTCCCCGTACAAAATGGAGTTGTCTCTAGCATTCATTGGCTGGGAAGCCGCCACGGCAATATGGGGAAGTGGTGAGGTATTTTGCTTCTCAGGTTCAAGGAAAAAGCAGATGTCCCAGCGACCACCACTAGGTGGACAACATCCCACTCTTGGGCAGCAACGCAAGAAAGGATTAGGGAGCCTAGAAGTTGCAATGCATCAATTGTTGAACCCTTAGAAACCAATCATCAGGGAGTAAATCAAAATGCATCGTACTTACGTTACGGTGTGTACTCCGCAGAAATCCATTAAACTTGAATGCCGGCGCGGGAGACTTCGCCTGGCGAGAGCCCACTTATAGAAGAACCGGACCGCTTCACCAGAACAGATTTGAGCGGACCACCACCGGCCGTCCTCGGTGTCGCTCCTATCTGCCGGCGGGATGTACTCAGTGAATGGAATATTCCCTTGAGGATGGTAGTTGTGCGATATCGAACGAGGTAAACGGGACTGATGTTACTGAAGGAGAATCCACAGAGCTCGTTTCAATTTCCCAAGGAATGAGAGTAATCCCATGTCCTGAAAGATATGATGCCAAAACATCTCCTTCTGAACCGGGCTCACTCGAGACGAAGGGCTTGTCCTTTCCTCCAGTAACGACCTCGTATAGCCATCTTACTTGCTCGCGTGTCACGTTTCCTGCCATTATGAAAAGAAGCTAAGTAAGAAGGTATGATTGGGGATTGAAGAAGTAAATAGTTGAAGACTTGTGGTTGACTGCCAGTTGCGGGAGGTGGATGGTAGATGGAGGATTATCTCTTGGACCAGGGTATCAGTAATTCAGTATCACTGTATCAGACCCACTTAAAGTCACCTCACGGTCACGGAAAGCTTGTTAGTCTTGTGGTTCCCTGATACCTGATGGATGCTAAGCATCCAGGACCCACTTGTATATAAAATCTCCGAGGATGTAGAACAAAAGTAAAGCAAAGCACTATGTTTAACTTGACTTAATGCCTAAAAATGTAATATACCCAGGGCAATATTAGTATTACCATAATCACCGGAAAGAGAGCTATCTAACGGTACTAATTTTGAGATCAGAGGGGAAGATTTTGTACATAGACACTGGGGTGAATTGTAGAGCCATCTCTCAGATGTAATTTCGCCAACCACAATTTTGAATCTTGACCAAATCAAGTTTTACCAGCAGTGTGAAACAACAGGGTCATCTTACAAAAGGGCTGTAATTTAGGTACCTATTTTGGTTGCAAGTATCTACTACTGCTTTCTTCACTGATCATCGCCTCCCCAGTCTTTTTTTTTTTGAGTCTAGATGGAATTTCGCGCCTTTCCGAGTTCGCTTTCTTCTTTGCCTAGCATATCAAATCTATGTTCTCTTGTCATCCGGGTGAATCTCTTCGATCCCTTCACTGTGCTTGTGTAGTTATAGATAGGAGTTCTTCCATTGGTCTGAGCAGAAGCAGGAATATGGATGTTTTTGATCTTTTGAGTTCAGCGGGCCAATCACAAGCGGGTTCCTTCCGTTCGAAGTATACCTACCCGGCCTCAATAACAAAACTGGAGAGTGAATGTTGTAGAAGTACTACTGTGTATATACCTACAAAAGAGAGACATAAAATGCATCTGCTTGGGATGGGAGATGGGGGCGGGGGCTGGTTCTTGAGATATCGACTCCCCCTCCTCTTTTGTTCTTTGCTTCTCTTCCTAGCAGGCATCAGCTATCACCCATCCCGTCTTTACCTTCAAGGCACCTTCCAAAATGACTAATGATGCCTTACCTGAGACAGAAAGAGAGTGGAGACAATCCGCAGGGAGACACAACGTGAAGAATCAATCCCTGCATATGAATGTAAAATTGCATTCAGCATCCCAAGTCACCTACAAGCAGTATCTCCTGTTCAGAACCATCCTCCCCTCCATTGTTCCCCCACGGCAGCTCAATGTCCAGACCCTTGGCATAGCACCTCTGATGGCGCAAGCAAATCTGCTCCTGAGTGATGTCAGGTTTGGTGACTATATCTTAGATGTCACCACCAGGCAGACGCAGCCGGTTTGGAATCCACCTTGGGGAGGAAACGAAGGACTGTTCAGGGTTCCAGCTATTCAGCAACAGCAAGTGATTCGACATGAGGCTCAGAACAGTTCTGTTCGGAGTGCTGCCGAAGCCAGTGTCAACACTTCTATCGTTTCCTTTTTGCAAGCCATTGCAGATCTGGTTCCTCAGTCTGGACGCCAGTGGACGGCTGATAGGTCCAAGCTGACGGCAGACTTCAGCACACGGAGACGCAAAAGGCAATTCGTTGCATATACCTACCGATGGTCAGCTGGAGGATACCTTCAGTCGTCGGATTTTGGCACTCATCGAGTGTAAACGATCGCGGCGGGAGAACCATTCCCCAGCGGTTGATATGCAGGAGGTCGCGCAGATGGTGGCATGGGTGAAGCAGCACCTCGGCGCACCAGGAAATGATATGAGAGTCCTTGTGTCGCAGGACGGGACTGATGTTTATATCTCGGTCTTTCAGTACGACCAGGGTTGGTTACGGTATCTCAATGGAGGTCCCGGGAGTATCGCGCATGCTGGGTTTGCCTACATGCACAGGTATGGCCCCTGGAACATCCAGGAAGCAATAGAGATGGAGCATTTTGCTCGAATAATCGCCGCTCTGCTACTTCTATAGCCCCTTTGAGACCAATGGGAACGCCAAAAGCAAGCACCTCTGCCATCCAGCTCAAACCCCGAACTAATCCACATCTGCGTCACAGAATGATCCTCACCTGCCTAAGCGGTATAATACCCATCGAAATATATGCCGTAGTCATGCAGCGCGAATTTCAAAACGCAAATAACTTCGTCGGGAAGGGCTCCGTCATACTGGGTATCTACTTGTTTGTCATAACTCATTATACGTCCTTTCCCTCCCCTGCCTAAACCCCGTGGTGCATCCCATGCCAATTACCAATATGGAATGAAAGGAGAGAACCGTACTGACCAATCCCTTTGATGAGATCTCAGTATGACTCGCATATACAACTAGTATAGTGTCTAGTAGACAAGCAGATTTGGGATTAAGGACTCGTCTCTTGGCTTGAAATGTGACGTGAGGGACGTCCAGCATCTTGTATTATTTGACACTGTGATTCCAGAGTGATTCAAGTATTCTGAATACTCTATGCTTGAAAGATAGTGGCTTGCAAGATTGGCATCATGTCATGATACAAATTCTCCAACCAGAGCGCCTATTTCGTGCTGGGGTGGAATATGCGCATTTTGTCTTGCCAAGGGTTACTAAGAATCAGCACATTATATTACCACTTGCCCGATTTGGCAGCATACGAACTGACGTAGCACTGCCACTCTTGGCCGAATATTCGATAGCATTCAATCATTTGAATACCCTCAAATCTGACCTCTATCGGAGGCATAAATAGGAGCTAGATATCATTCGTGTAGGAGAATCGGACCTTCATTGACTTTCGATTTGCCATATAAATTACTAGTGATTCAGGAACTTTACTAGTGCTAGCAATTTCAACAACACCTCACTAAACTATCTCTGCTAGTTAGAAGTAGATCTTGATTGCTTCAAATCAAGCACATACGACCATAGGGTGTGGAAAACAGGGCTTCCCGTCCGCTCAGCCATACTTAAGCCACACGCCGGCCGGTTAGTAGTTGGGTGGGTGACCACCAGCGAATCCCGGCTGCTGTATGTTTTGTTTTTTCTGCATCTTTTCTTTTGCTTCGTTGACTTTGACTCTTGCCGCCCTGTGGTGTGAGTCTTCAAGCACACGTCAAGCTATCTATTATGCACCCGCCAAGCCTGCTACGCTGATGGCCTTTCTCAACCTATCTGCTAAGTATTGCTTCTCGTGCATGTTTACCCTATCTATATATTCAAAGATAGTACTGAGTCCTTTATATTTATTGTGTATGCATGTACATAGTGTGCCTATTCAGTACGTCCTTACTCTCCTTCTGCCCTCTCTAGTTTATAGGTACCTTAGTTATATATCTTCCTCAAGCCTACAACTCGGTAACGGTACGTTGAGAATTCGAGGACCTGCCTGTTGAATCGACGCCGAAATGACCGCCTCAGGTTAACCACCCGCATATCTAGCAGTAGTACATATCGGGCCAAGCAGCATCTTATCCCAGCATGTTCCGGCGTGCCGCACCTGACCGGCCTCTAGTTCGGGAGTCTTATCCCCCCACCACATCCGGCCTTCCTGGTCTGTCTTCCAATCATCGATGAGATCTACGAGAGTCGGCAGATGTCCCAGCGCGGCAGGCTGAAAGCCTCTCGGTCGCCTTAGAGCCAGGTATGTTGCGAAAGTAGCCACGAGGACGGCTAGTATGGCGTATGTAATCAACCGCGAGTATACCATATCAAACTGGAATCCGCGTTTGAACGGCAGCTCTTGGACATGAGCGGACAGGTCTTCGACAGGGATGGAGGCCAATGATTCGATGTCTTTGGCGATGTCTTTGGAGTCTTCCATGGCAACGGAAGGGATCAGGCTCTGACCAATTATCCAATGCAGCACCGCTTTGGCAATGAATAGAATAGCGTTCTCCCAACTCGATACAGCTGCACGGAATGGATTCGTGGCCAACTGTGTCCCTGCGGCCTCTCTTGTTTCACTGTAAGCTTGTCGCCAAATGCCTTCATCTCTGGACAGGTTGACGAGCAGCTCCAAACAGTGCAATGCGACGGTCTGACTAGCCTGGATAAGACAGACAAAGAGAACGCAAAGTACAGCCTCGGCACCGTACGAGAAGGTTGCGGAATCAGGATTGTGGTCATTCGCATATGGCGACATAGACAGCGTCACATAGTTCCGAGAGCACGCAAGAGCGTCTTTGTTCCATTTAAATCCAACTCTCCAGCATAACGGTTCAGAGGCCTGGCCAGCAGCACTGGCGTTGCCAATGGACATGGAGACAGTGGCGATGGCGATAGGCCACGCGACGGCCAGAAGAGCGAGTGACCACAGTAGAACGAGAATATATCGCACCATGCCCTGTAATTGGAACATATTTCCTTGTCGATGCATAGGATATGTCTCCTGGCTCGACATTTGTCTCTGGTGAACTGATAGCATACATCTCCCGGGACGGTGAGCGAGGCCACCATTCTGCACCACGGCCGACGCGGTGTTGAGAGGGTTGGAGCTCCAGGTCGGTATCGACTTGTAGCTGGACACTAGGCACCATACGGCGATGACGGCCTGGCCGGCGAGACCTAGACCCAAGGCTACTAGAGCTGTGCCGTTAATCAATAATGGAGATTGGTCTTCATTCTTAGATAGCACAACGACTTGGTCAGATAGCAGCAGAACGGATGAAGAAGCGTATGATAGCACCAGGCAAGTTAGGGCCACTAGGTTGATGTACCATTTGTTCGGGCCGAATCTTTTGGAACCGGTGAAGAGACGGATATTGGTGTTGAACTCCAGGCGTCCCTCGCGATACAGTGCCCATCGTAACGAGACGGAATGCACGAACATCATACCATCAGTGCAGAGTGCTAGTATGACGTTGATCGCTAGGGCCATGGCTTCCCTTCCAGAAGTAGAGATAGAGACCGAAGCGCCGAGTGTTGCCTGGTTGGTTCTGAGGAGGTAAATACCGGATATCAAGCAAACTAGGGAGAGAATCACGCCCGTTGATACGGCGGCAATGCATCCAGATCTTGTAGCGCTCGCCGTGTCAAAATCTGGCCCATCTTTCTCATCCTGGTGTAGTGAATGCTCGACGAATGGCTGCTTTTGCTCTTCTGAAACTTCCTCTTCCCTGAGTCTGGAACGTGGTTTCGGTCGGTGCATGTCGAACGTCGAATGGACCGACTAATAGGTTCGTGTGTTCGGCTGGGTAGCTCGTCCCCAAGAACAACCTTATTATATGCTCACAGGGGTTGTGAGCCCCTACATGTTAGCATCAGGGGCAGTGCACACTACCTTGATGTCCGGCCGCATTGTGCTGACATCCCCACTGTACGCGCTGATCCATAACCCAAATTTGGGGGCCAATCTGGGTAGTACGGCAAGCCATTGGGACAAAACCGAAATAACGACTTCAGGAGTTTAGTATGTAGACCGCTCTGAGTTCCGCCTGACTAGAATTACATTCCCATACCATTTGGTATTTTTACCATATGGGGATATTAAATGATTCAAATCATCATATAGTAAGGATATCGAATGGTTCGAGTCGCCATATAGTAGGGATTCGAATCGTCATATAGTAAGGATATCGAATGGTTTGAATCATTATATAGTAAGGATATCAAATGGTTCAAATCGCCATATAGTAGGAATTCAAATCATCATATAGTAAGGATTCAAATTATTATATAGTAGGGATATCAAATATTACTATACTTAGGTATATATGTATCTGAAATATGCAGTGTTAGTAGGTGGGTTCCTCTATGACCTCTCTATATATATATTCTGCCTATATAGGGCATGACCTTAGTATATAAGGATTTAATTTTACTACTATATAGTAATTTAAATTCCTACTATATAATGATTTAAATCATTTAATATCCCTACTATATGGCGACTCGAACCATTCGATATCCTTACTATATGATGATTTGAATCATTTAATATCCCCATATGGTAAAAATACCAAATGGTATGGGAATGTAATTCTAGTTAGGCGGAACTCAGAGCGGTCTACATACTAAACTCCTGAAGTCGTTATTTCGGTTTTGTCCCAATGGCTTGCCGTAGGGTAGAGTCGGCCTTGCGAGGTAAAATGACACAAACCAGTGCACAGACGGTCTCGAGTCGGTCAAAAAATGGAACAAGAAAGAAGGGAAACATCTCTTGGCTTATTAATGTCTCGGACGTTTACCCTCCACTCTATTCTACGCTTCGTCGCGCTTCGTCGTCTTCGCAGGTGTTCCTGGGGCCGGTTGTTGGTTTCTTGGAGCAGTTTAGCCCAGATAAGCCTGTCGACACCACGCCGATAGCAAGATCCTAGTACGGTAGAAGTGGAATAGGTAATTCCAGGGAGCCAAAATGGATTTCAGGTCCAGATCAAAGATATCAATCTGCGGTAGCCTGAAGCACAGTATTTGAGGCAGTTCGTCTTCATGCATTGAATGAGATAAGACCCCAGGGTTGGCCCTATCTCGATCTGAAAGTGGCTTAGTCCGGGCCCCTCCTTTTTGGCCCAAGGCATACGCAGTAGCTTCTCCATACTTCATACTTCATGCTCCATCGACATTGAACATAAATAGCTCCAGGCATCACTGGGAAGCCTCACTGCTCAAATCACTCGTTATACATCACGTCTGAAAGGACGAGGTGTTGCCTCTTCTCTTCTTAGCCCGGTATACTATAACTGCCTCAACTGGCATTGCTACCTTACGTTCACCAAGACCAAAAGATGTCCGGATCCGATCCCAAGTACGCCAAGTCAAAGTTCTTATCACGAGTTCCATTGGTATGCAGTTGATGTTCCTGGAGGGGCGTACAAGTCATGGCGCAATATTCGCGCCGCCCTCTTCTATTCTACCGGAATTACCTCGTGGTGTAAACAACGAAGTATGGCTGATCCACTTGATAGGAAAACAGTAACGCCAAATGGACCAGGCTGATCCTGACCACGTACACTGATCCAAACGGTGTGGAAAGGACTTGGGAGTCGGCAGAGAGACAGGTA